TCATTATTATTATTATTTTCTACTTGCCAGTTGTTATCATTATTAATGACACTAATTTGTAAAAAAAATGTATAAAATAAAAAATAAGACATGACATGTTTTTAATGTAGAATAACCTTGAAAAAAAGTTAAATAGCTTCAAGAAAAACCAGAAAAATAACTGAGGAAAAGATTTTTTAAAGTCTGGAGAACAGCCAGAAGGACTAAAATAGATGTTAAACAATGTTACACACACACGATTGCACATGTACAAGCTCATATATACATACACACAAAGTAAAGAGTCCCTGAAAAATGAAATAAAACAATAGAAAAGGACTAACATTTAATACTGTAACTCAAGAAAATTACTTCTAGAATACTTGATGTTATATATGAGAAACACTACACCGTATTTGGAAAAGTTAAATTCAACAACAATCAACATTTAGAACTAATTATAGTATAACTAGTACAGTATAACTAGCATAAATATGGCAATATTTCAAGTGAAAAGTAATAAGGATAAAAAAACTTAAGATTACTATCATAGATATCAAGAACAATATACAAAACAAAGCATTAGTGGAATGTTATTTTTAAGAAAGTCAAGGATTTTATATTCACCCAAGTTACCATTTAGAAGCAAGACTATAGAAAAACAACCTGGAATATACATAGTCTCCGGAAACACTACATGCAGGAGTCATTTCTGGGATTATACAACAATGCACCCATAACAATGTTTGGTCAACAACAGGCTTTATACAATGTCTGTCCCATAAGATTCCATCGGAGCTACCATCACAAGCATCACAACCACCTAAAACAACACCTGTGTTTTCAGAAATGCTGGTGTAAACAAATCTATTTTGCTGCCCATCATATAAAGTAGAGCACATGCAACTATTTTCAGTGTACAATAATTAATGATAAACAACTATGCTATTGGTTTACACACATATTATGCTGTTCTTTATATTGCTAAAATTGTACTCTCAAAAAAAACAAAAGGTTGTCTTGTTAGAGTCATAGAGTTAGACTACCCCAAAACAGCCAGGTTCAGCATAATCATGCTTCAACGCTATAAACGGCTAAATACTAAAATTAAAATAGACATGAGACAGCTGAAGAGTAATCTATAGCCATTTTAAGGTGTATAGAACCCAGTTGTACATAAACTAATAAGTGAAATGTCAATGTAGAAGTCACAGGATGTGGTCCAGAACTTGTATTCTTTTTTTTTTTTTCTCTTTTAACATATTGGTTACTCAATACTATGTCAACTAATACCATAATGTTATAAATTGTTGCTGATGTTATGTTGGGGCTTTTAATTGATCGGGATGATACTCTGCCGGCTCTACCTTCAGACCAGAGATGGTCTCCCCAAGAAACCGTTGAACTGGGGGAGGTTTGGGGAAAGGTGGGGGGAATCCCAGTGCCTGTAAAACTGTGTCACATAATGCAATGTAATCAATAAAAAAAAAAAAAGAGGAAAAACAAAAGGCTAAGCTGGCTGTAGCCTACGCACCTCATGTTACCCAAATTTCCCAGTGGCATTAAGGGCTACATCCAGTGACCGAGCGTTACCATCTAGGCTTGACTACGGATCCTTCATGATGTTGTTTACAACAACAAAGATGCCAAATGACATACTTTCCAAGACAAATTCTCTTGAGTAAACTAGAAGATAATTTTTGTATAGCAACAACAAAAGCACTTCAAAAGAAAGAAAAGCTAACAAGAAAGCATGTTAAATGTATCCGGAAGTTGGGGTTGTTGTAGTGACTTAGCTGGGTAATTCTCTGCCTGCAGTGCAGCCACCCCATCTGGGCACTGGTTCATGCTCCTGCTGTTCCATTCCAGCTCCCTGTTAATGGTCTGGGAAGGCAGTAGAGGATGGCCCAAGTATTTGAGCCCATGCATCAATGTGAGAAACCCAGAAGAAGCTCCTGAATCCTCACTTCAGACCAGCCCAACTCTGGCTGCAGTGGCCACGTGGGGAGTGAACCAGTGGAGACATCTCTCTCACTCTTTTTCTCCCCTTCTCTTTCTGTAATTCTGGCTTTCAAGCAAAATAAATAAATATTTATATTTTTAATATTAATAATAATGTGTCTCCAAGTGGCAGTTACAACAGGATGCATATGTAATTTGTCTTATATAAGGCAGAGGGAAAAACAGCAAAGACAAAGAGGGAGAGGGGAAGGGAGAGTGAGAGCACTTCCATTCACTGGTTCACTTCCAAATAGCCACAACAGCCAGCTGGTGGCCAGGCTAAAGCCAAGAGCCAGGAACTCCGTCCTGGGCTTGCACAAGGGTGCGGGAGCTCAAGTACTTAGACCGTCTTCTTCTGTCCCCTGGGCATGTTAGCACCTAGTTGGACAGGAAGCAGAGTACCTGGACTTGAACCAGTACTCTAACATGGCATACTGGCACTGCAAGGAGAAGCTGAACCCACTGAACCACAACTCCAACCCTTTACTTCCTAAATTATTTAAATTAATATTAGCTTTTATCTTTTCTGATAATAATGTTCATGTTCTATGCCAAGCCAAATAATTCAGAAGACAAAAACACATAAATTAATTCTAAATATGTGATGTTTCTTCTCATTGTATTATGTTCTCTATCACATTTTTTAAAGCTGTATTTTATTTTTATTTGAAATAATTATAGAGAAAAGAAAAGGCAGAGGTAGACAGGGAGGGGGTGAAGAGGCAGGTCCATTTGTTGGTTCCCTCCCCAGTGTCTGCAAAGGCTAAAGCTGAGCAAATTCAAAGCTGAGAGCCAGGGACTTACACAAGGTCTCTAACCGGGTGCAGGGGCGCAAAGACTTGGGTCACCCTCTCTTGTTTTCCCAGGTTACGAGCAGAAAAATGGATTGTAGGTGGAGTAACTGGGACACGAACCAGGTCCAAATGGGATGCTAGCACTGCAGGCAGAAGATTAGCCTTTTATGCCATGGCATCAGGCTCTCTATATGCTATTTTTTAAAGTCAATCTATTAAAAACTATACTTTGTTGGATTTTAGCTATGCAGCACTTCCAAAAAAAAAAAAACTAAATGTCCTAGAAGACAAGGTTTTAAGTATTTGCTAAACGGGAAAGCAGAGACAAAAACTACAACAGCCCATGGGTTCCATTCAGCCCATAAACAGTGAATTTACTTCCTTCTTAAGCATGAGCCTGCTTAGGTTACAAAGAATATTGACTTCACTCAATGCCAAATTACAGAATCTTTCAAATCCATTAAAAATTGTTTGCTTCTGAGTACCTAACTATATGCTAAACCAATTCTCTCAACCGTAAAATGCTTATCTTGGAAATACATTTGATATATATACTTTGATAGAAGTCAAACATAGGTTAGAGACAAGAACAGAAGAATATTATTAGAAAAGAATTATTAAAAGAATCAATGATAATTATTGTTGACTTTAATAAATGACTATGTTTTATCAAAGGCTTTTAAACACTTTCAGCTAGAGAACTCTCTTGAACAGTTATTAGTGTTCAAAATTTCAAAGTATAAAAAGTGGAACTACTTTGGGTAAAGTGTGCACTGGAAATCTATAGGCCCACCTGCTGTTGTGGTTGTCAAAGACCGAGAGGATCAGTATAAATGTGTACAACAGTCACTGAAATTGGGATTCTATTAAGTAAATGCATCCATTAAGAAATTTAAATATATAAGTAAATCAAATCAATTATTATTCACTGAGAAATACAAGGCAAAAATAAATAAGTATTTTTAAGAGACTTATTTTAGAAAAAGTATAAAAAAGGAGCTCAATTTGGTAGTCTGCTATCCATTCTTTCTTTTTTATAAGCCTCCAGCTGATACTGTAAGGTGATACTTCAGAGTCACATCTTTAATTTCTGATGCTCCTATATGTTAAATGTGGCAATATCAAGTCGATAGGAGCTCAAGAAATGCCTCTGAATGGGAAACATAACAATGTTATTCACTAATTTCTAATCCTGACAAACATTTAGTTTAAAATTTCTAACTAGGTTATTATATCTTGTCTTTTAATAGTTATCTTGACATTATTAAGACAGGTCTTCAAAGTCTGGATTTTCTTAGCTTTCTCTATTCAAAGGAAAACCAAAAATCCCTTCCAACTCTAAAACTTCTGTAACTCAAAACAAAACTCTCTCTTGCTACTGGTGCTTTTGAGGAGCAGAACAGAAAGCACATTAATAGTTAACAAAGCCACAGTATGCTCTAGGAATAAAGTCTTGCATTAAAAAAGTACTTAGACTGTATTTACAAAAGAATCTCTACCATTAATTATTCAACATTGAGATTTGACCAGAAACCAGAGCATGATTTTATAATGCTCTGTTTAAATGAACTACTTAATGTTGTAATGAACACTCAATTCACTGAGTCCAGTGAATTTCAGACTTGCGATAATACTATGACTTTTTCAATTTTTTGATCAATAAATAGTAATGCTCAATCAATCTGAATTTCACTTATTTTTTAAATATGTTTACTTAAAACCAAAATGTTCCACATCAATTATTTTACATTCTAAAACTGAATGTTGTTTCAGCCAATGCATTATTCATAAAGCAAAGACATCAGTAAAAACAAAGCTGTGCACTCCTTTCAAAGCTGGTAAATTGCTAAAACATACCATATTTATGCATGCAATATTTGATTGTGTTTCTCTTAAAACACAAGCTTGTTTGCGTCAGATCAAGATACACCAAAAACTCTACACCAAACAATTTTTGTTTATAATTAAAGCAATCATCAATCCAAGGATTGTCATTCATTTTATTTCATCTCTACATCAAAAAAAGTAATTTAAAAAAATTTTAAATTCCCTTGAAATGATAAGATAAATGAAAACGTAAGTGCCTTCACATAATGACAGTAAGCTGACCCTCTGGGAGATGGTTGACTTTCTCAATACAAGGTATTCAAAGCTCATTCAAAAGTGTTCATTTAGAATGCAGATATCAAAGATGATGCATGTGTTCAAGAGAAAATTAGAACTTACCAGATGTTCTAATCCAGCTTTGATGTTTGCAGATTCCCTAAAACAGAAGAATAAAAGTTCTAAATAGTTGCTAAATCCTTGTCTGCTTTAATTTATACTTACCTCAAAAATATTTTAAAAATCCTTATCACTTTTAAAATCTATCTTTACAAATGTTCACATTAATACAATTTCTAGGGACAAAACAACTGCCATAACAAAAGGAACAATTTATTCATTAAAATAGTATTACCTCTAAGATAGGTATTCTACAAACATAATGTTTTGTATTTTTCACAATCAATGGAAAACGAAAAGTGCACTCTATTATGATTTTACTATTCACCCAAAAAATTTATTTCTTTATGTTAACATTTCAATTAAAGGGTATATTTGCTCCAATTATTTAACATTCAAGCTTACCGATTTCTATCTACTACCCAGTTTCTACAACTGACTTTTTCCTAATTCTTTTACTAAATATTCATCCATCAACGGTTGCATGTTCATAAAAAGACTATACACATGACTAGGCTGTAGCTCTCACTGGATTGCATGAGGGCCGAGTATGTGGTAGGCAGGATCAGGATGGGCTGCAATACCTATGTGTAGAAAACAGAGCTAGAGACAGAACTGACCCAGCAATTTCACGTACGTTAGCCGATTGGGGCAATGGACTGTGCTGAACCCTATATTGGCAAGCACACACATGAATCAGGTCTGGGAACACCTCAGATGAAGTTTCTTTGAGGATCCCCCAACTGAGTCACTGGACTCAGAACCTGAACTATGGAAAGAATTGCAGGTTCCACAGTTTGACTGGCACATGGAGGATATGGCAGGACATTGGCACCTGCAGAGGAAACCTGGTACCATAACAAAGGACAGTGAATAGAACAAACTGATCAACTACCCCAGCCAAGTGTTGGTAGTCAATATCTGGGCAAGTGGAGACTTTAAGGTGGACAATGTCAACCAGTGGATTCTTTAGAGAAATTGGCAGTAAATCAGAACTGTCGAACCTCTTGAGCATGACCCTCTGAGCATGCCCCACATTGGGGACCTTGGGATGGCGTTGGGTGGCTGTCCTTCATCCCAGGATACGGAGGTGGTTGGGCAGCTGGGTGTGGCTTCTCATTTTATCTCTCCCCTTCCTGCAGATACAGGAAGGAAAATAACAATGGCCTCATCCACCTTCCTGTAGCCCTTGACCCTCTGCATCCTAATCAACTATGTAAAAATAACCAAAAGTAAAAATAATTATTAAAAAAGACTGTACATAACAAAAATGTTTGTTGGTATTTAAACAACTAAAAACAAATTGTTTCTTGATGTCAGTTTTATTAATTTGCTACAAATTGAGACCTCATATAGTTGTAATATTAAAAAAACAAGTATCACACAACAAAATATACTAACACAATACCCAAGATATATTAATCTTACTTAGTTTTATGTTTATTTATTTACTCATATGAAAGGCAGAGACAGTATTCATTCATCAGCGTATGTAGTGGTCAGGACAGAGCCAGGCTGAAGCCTGGAAACAGGAACCCACTCTTGGATGAATGGCAGTAATCTAACTACTAGATCCATCAGTGCCACCACCGAGGGTCTGCAAGGAGCAGTAAACTGGAGTCAGGACCAGCATCAGGTACAGATTCCTGGATACTCCAATGCGGAATGCTGCCATCCAGTCAGTGTAAGAATGGCTAGTTTAAACACCTGTCCCAATACATATATTTTAAGTCATCTTTTATTATTCTTTTATCTGGGAAAAAGACAGAGGCCAGAGAAAAGATCCCTAATCTCCTGGTTCACGCAACATGCCTAAAGCATGCACAATGGCCAATGCCAAAACATGGAACTAGGAAGGCGATCAAGACCTCTCACTTAACCTTAACCTGCGGGACCACAGCACCTGCCCCAAGCTTTATTAATTAATTTATTTTTAACATGGAAACTATAGTTCTGCCAAACTAAAGATTTATTTTTTTATTATTTTTTCGTTGGAAAGCCAGATATACAGAAAGGAGAGACAGAGGAAGATCTTCCATCAGCGGTCCAAAGCCAGGAGCCTCTTCTGGATTTCCCACGCGGGTGCAGGGTCCCAAAGCTTTGAGCCATCCTCAACTGCTTTCCCAGGCCACAGGCAGGGAGCTGGAAGGGAAGCGGGGCTGCCGGGATTAGAACCGGCGCCCATATGGGATCCCAGGGCGTGCAAGGCGAGGACCTTAACCACTGCGCCACAGCGCCGGGCCCTAGTTCTGCCAAACTAAAGAACACAATTATATAAGCTCTAATGACAACACTACTGTCATTCAACATCTTTAATCTTCTCTTTAGACCTCTCCATTCTTCTGAAGGGTCTCAACTTTTTAAAATTTCTACTTCCTTTTTTTTCCTTGCCAAATTCTTATTTATATTACCTTTCTCTTCTACACAGTCTTCCAATTTTTCTTATTTTTATTCCTTTCAGTCCTGAAGCTTAGAAACTGTGTTCATGGTTAAGTTACTAAGCTGTGCCCCCATTGTCCAGACTGACACAAGAGGGAAAAAGTCCCACATCCACTGAATGACATTTTTCCTCTGCCATTCCGTTTTCCACTTGCCTGCAGAATTTTTGAAACCCATTCTCCAACCTCTACCGTCTCTGCAATGCTAATCTTAAGTGGCAAGAATAAACTCCCATAAGCTGTACAAGAAGGCTATTATCCATATTAAATATATATAAGTATTTTTAAATTTGTCACTACAAAATAAATGCACTTATTATAGCTGTAACAAAAATGAATGTAGGTTTCTACAAGACATTTTCCTACAGTTATTTATGTAGCTGAAAGTTAAAAAAAATACTCAGACATCTTAATATGTGCATGGAGTCCATCTTGGAGTGTTTATTATACAACACAGACCTCCTTCACTTTCAGTTCCAGACACATTGTCACATAATACTTGTTAGAAAATAATATAACAATATTCATTATCTGCAACAACTAGAGCTAGACATGCTTCATTAGAATATTTTGGATTTTAGAGAGGTAATAAGAAATATATGTATCATATGTAACACTTCCACTGGGATCCGAAGCATCATCTTATTATCAAACACATTGATAATTCCAAAAGAAATGTACTAATGTCCACACAAGGTGAAGTAAACAGACATTATAAACACCCTCATTTCAGAAGAGGTCTGCTGTATTGTCAGCTTGTCATAAATGTGGGAAAGTCCCCGAGTTTTCAAATATACTGACATTTTAGAATCAAGAATAAGAAACTCACTTAAAACCAATCAAAGAATACTACTGTTATGCTGTATCCAAATGACTGTCGAAATTACAGGCTATTCACAAAATAAGTATTTTGAATGCTACATATAACAGAAAACAAAGCATCAACATGTGAAGAAAAATCAAAATCAGAGTCTTGGCTATTCAACATCCTTAATTATTCTTTGTATCAAACTATTTTTTGCTCCCTTTCCTTCCCTTAATTATTGCAACAGCATCTAATTCAGTCTCAAAAGTGCCTATCAATTCATTCTCGATGCCTCCTATTCATTCTCATGTCTCATGACAGTTTATTCTCCATAATACAGCAAAATATTCCTGAAATGTAAGTTTGATCGTGCCAATGTTTCTTAAAACCTACATGATTTAACCTCATCCCAGTTTACCCTTTGCTATCTTGCTCATGTACGAACCCACAGAAAATGCCAACAGCCATGACAAAATGCTAACCTGTTTTGACTCACCATGGGACCACCTGCCCCTCGATCTAAAATTCTCCCTCCTTCCAGCCTCTTTACCCCTCCCTATCTGCTTAACAACAATAACAAAAAAAAAAATCCTCTCCAGACTCAAAACTATTCTGCAGTTAGGGAATTCTTCCTCTTTCCTTGGGAACGAAGTGGTAACTTCTTTCCATGTGTTCTAATTACAGGAGCATGTTCCATCACAGAATCAATGATGTTACTATAAATGCCAATGAACCTTCCTATTAACAACAACTCTCAAGAACATATGTTACATATTTTTCATTTTTACACTCTGGCTCTCAATATAGCACCTAAGAATAAATAAATACACATATAAAATAAAGACATTATATATTATAAATATATATTTATATGTCATATAAATATATTGTATGTAAACTGTGTATATATAATTAATAAGGGTTATGTGACAAGGTTTGCCAGATAATCAGTAGCAACTAGCTCCAGTCTGAGTGTTCTTATCCAGCCCCAACCTATTTCAACTAACATCTATGGCCATACCACCCTGAAAGCTCCTGATCTCGTCTCATCTCGGAAGCTATGCAGGGTCGGGCCTGGTCAATATTTGGATGGGAGACCTATTTCCAATTAACGCAAAGAGTAAGGCAACTGGCAACAGTGAAAAGCTGCCTGGCATGGTAGTACTAAAGGTGTGTTTACACGCATACAATCTGTGTTTTCAATACTGTTTTGAAGGAGTGTCAGAATATTGGCTGAGCTCACAATAAAACACTAAACTTTTCCATTGCAGTTTTTATATTAATCTGGAGGAATACAAATTAGTGCCTAGGCTTTTTTTTTTCCCTCTCATACTGAAATCACTAACAGACAACTGAATGGCCCACTGAAATATGAGATAATCTCAAAAGGAAAATCTTAAGTGTACAGAGACACAAAAGTAACAAAGATGACATCATCCACACATATATAAAACATAACAATTGAACAAGGACATGAGATTTAAGAATACTAATATTTAAAAAAAAAGTTTTATAAATTTAAAATAAAACTAAGAGAAAGATTCAGTATGTGATCATGTAAAAATACCCGCAGAATGAAATTAATGAATCAAAAATACAATAGATACAGAGAACAATCTATTGATCTAGAAAACTAGATGAACCAAAATTATCATCCCAGAAACTAAAAAAAAAGGGGTGAAAAGAATAAGCAAGAGATTAAATTAAGAACAGAGCAGAAGTATCAACAGAAATCATTACAATTGTAAAAGGACAGCAAATACAATACATTTGAAAAGAACTATTTAAAAAAATAAT